TTTGTTTTCTTTGATTAATTATCCACCAGTTCTTTCCTATGATTTCCACGTTTGTGACCCCAATGGCCGCTGGTACCTGGCTGATAGTGGCTCTGTTCCTGGGGACCTTTTACTTCTCACAGGCAAGGCTCTCAACCATGCTACAGCTGGTCTAAGGCCTGTGGCTTCACATCGCTCTGCATTGGATATCCCTCCAGGAACTTCTAGTGGCGGAAGGTAGATATTGGTGCTTAAGTGTAATTTGACAGTTGCCCAAGAATGTCGTAGGTTGAAGAAATTTCTCAACTGATCAGTACACTTCGCCCTGCAGGACATCTCTCGTCTTTAGGCTCATGCCACAAGGCGATGCAATACTTGATTGTTCACCAATTGCAGCGGCTGGTCATGTCATTCCTCAGAGTTATGTGCCAATCTTTGTAACCCAGTTTATGGATGCTATAACAGTACTTGTTATGTGCCAATCTCTGTAACCCAGTTTATGTGTCAATCTCTGTAATCCAGTTATGTGCCATCTCTGTAACCCAGTCATGTGCCAATCTCTGCAACCCAGTTTCGATTAGCTATGTTAGTAATTGTTGCTAACTCTTAGTTCAATAAATGATATTTGAGCATTAGCTTTTGTTTTTAAATTACTACATGCATTATGTTCTTTGAGATAATTTTACAAGTCCTTTGGGTATCTGATTGACAGAATGCATAGCAGGGAGCACAACTAGGTTGCTTCTTTATTTAAAAACAAAAAAAAAAAAAAAAACTCCGGACTGTTAAAAGTGTCAGCATAGCTCAACAACTTCAACAATATCTTGACACTTTCGATTGTTAAGAAAATGGATTTTTGTTGATAGATGGGATGCTATAATAGCATAGTTTTCCTGACATCTTTGAATAGTACGAACCTATCCCCACATTGGAAGGGACAACACTTGTCCGAAGTGTGAGGAAATGTAAAGTGTTAGCTTAGATTATATATACTGACACTTTTGAATGCCGTTAAAGGTCATTTTTGTTGTAGTGTGACCTTACAGCAAGTACCAAAAGGGCAAAAAAAAAAAGAAAAGAAAAAATAGGGTTCTTATTCCCTCGAAAGTGTAAAATTTAAGGTTGACTCAGTTGTTGTGGACTAATCATACTTGTACCTTATTTTGTTTTAGAGTCCAATTGTAAGCCTGTGATTGGACCTATTCCAGGATGGTCGAACTTTGCTGTGACTTTGTATTATTTCAGGCCATGAAGACCAAGGAATGGTATTGGAAATTTCCTCTTCTCTTTTTTTATGCATAAAATAAAATAGAGCAAATTACACTTTACCCCCTTGTGGTATAGTTAATTTTCACATAACCCCCTAGAGTTTTAAAAACTATATATAACCCCTTTATAGTTTAAATTAAAGTGTCAAAGAAATATTCTTCCGTAACAGAACTTATGAAAATGTCGAAATTACTCTTGTTAAAAAACTAAAATAACTGAAATGACCAAAATATATAAACATAATATGCATGACACTCTAATCCGTATGATTTTATATTTTACCATATAACTTCTTTATGGTTTAATGCCTTATCATAGAACCCTTTTATGGTTATTAATATATATATACATGATCCCCTTGTGGTTAATAAATAATTTTCAACTTTACATGAGAGTATTTTTGACATTTTAATTGACTCCGTTATGTATTGCAAATTCCGTTACTTTGACACTTTAATCCAAATTATAAGGGGATTATGTGTAGCTTTTGAAATTATAAGGGGATTATGTACAAAAATACTAAACCATAAACGGGTAAAGTGTAATTTTTCCAATAAAATATTATCTATCTATTTAAGAATCTAAATTTATGTCTAGGGACTGTTGATCCTGGTAATCTTGGCTGTCAAGGGCAGCCAAAGTATTCTACCTTCTGCTTTTTATATTACATTTTTAGGCTGTTACGAACTGCTTAATATCAAAATTGTCCTATTTTAAAATTGAAGTGATAACCTGAAAAAAAAAATAGAAACATCTTCAGGGACATTATAGTCGATAAATAAATCCAATATTTATCATGGGAAAAAAGAAAAGAAAAGAAATTCTCTTATGTGAAAAGAAATCTGAATGTGTACAGAACAATGTGAAAAGGAACACCAAAGGTGCACTCCTCCACAAACTGAGATATTTCTGATGAAAGAGCACCGGTACAAAGGCGTAATGCTCCCTAATGATGGTGGTTCAGTTTTGATCGATTTCTTGTGATCATGTTGGGTCCCTCTCTTAGAATAGCTTGAATAGGTTAAAGTAGGAGTAGAAGAAGGTATAAATGATGACAATTGAAAAAATTAAAAAACAAAGGCATTCTGTACCACACAATGCGAGAAAGACGAAATAATAGCCATTTGCCTTCCCGGGCAAACGCGGAAAGGTCAAACAATTCAATAAGTATATTCCATTATCCATAGACTTCAAAAAGGGATAATTTTAGAAACCATCCCTGAAATTTCTAATAGTTGTAGGGAGCTCCCCTAAGATTCTAAAAATTTCATAAACCTCTTGTTTTTCAATGTTTTTGGTAACAAAATAGACCAAAATAATAATACATGCCAAATTTACCTTTGAATATCCTATAATACCTTTCTCTTAATCTATAAAAAACAAAAATTGTGTTGTTCTAAAAGTTCTTAAGTTGGCAAATATATGTTTCGTGCCAAGCAATATGTGATTAATGGTCTCAATATCAATTTGATGTCGGTGAAGTGCTTGATATTTGTATTATCATTTTTTCCATAGTTGTCATGCAACTTTTGCCTCTTTCTTTTTTCCAATGAAAAAGGGGAAAAAAAAGTTGGGATGTGAATTAGGTAGTAGAGGAAGCTACTTTATCTAGGTACACGAATAAGGTAGAAAGTACATGATTAATCCAAGAAGAAAAGGATGTGATGAAATTGTAGTTCGTTAATGATGATAATAGTTGCATAAATTGGGATGAAAATGAATTTTTTAGGATAGGAATTTAAGTCAATGGAAAAGAAATACTGATGGCTGCGGTTGATACTCTTTTCCCATTTCTTTTTTTTTTCCTAGGGTAAAAAATCTCAGCGGCCATTAAAGTATTTGTCAGATTATCTTTTGGCCATCAAACTATTTTTGGTCAACAATTGACCACTAAACAATTTAATCAATAAACCCGTGACCATTTGATCGATAATTGCTTTTAATCTAAGAAATTAGTAGTATACATGGCAAAGTGCGAGGACAATTTTATCCAGCAACTATGCGACCTTCTTCTCCCCTTAATTCACTCAATTGGAAGCCCTAAATCTCCAATCACATATCGAAGAAGGCAAAGAAGAAAACGAAGAATGTGAGGCACTCTCCTACTGCCCGATGCTTTCTATGTAATTGCCATTGTTATACAGTTCCAAGCTCCAATTTTTATGGTGGAAAAACACGCAGTCACACACTCGGTGAATTCACTTCATTGGCTACAATTACTCTAAAGTAGTCAAAGACTGCCTTTTTCTATTTTAACCAAAATTTGAGCTTTTTGCTTTTTCAATTGACTTGGGAGAAGATCATTTCCATATATAATCACAACCATTTATCAATTTCCTTCCCATTTCAAAAGGGATTCTCCCAAATTTGTTGTTATGCTTCCAATTCTTCTCTAACCCATTTTTCTACTTTTCGAGGAGGAGGAGAAAAAGGAGAAAATCAGGTGGTTGTGGCTGGTGGTGGAGGCCACATGCACGGCTGAAGCAGGCTGGGTAGCTGCATGAATTCTACGCCTTCTACTTCTTCGTCTTCTTCTGTTTCGCCGCCGTCTTCACCGCGGAACCGCCGCAGCAGGAACAATAAGAATTCTATTATTACAATCGGAGGTGGCGGTGGAGATGGAGGAAGCCGGAGTTTCCTCCGTGGTGGAGGAGGCGGCGGAGGATTTGGGGAAATGAAGCTGCAGACTTTAGTGGAAAAGGTTGGGTTTTGCGGTGATTTCAGGGGAGAATAGGATCGCTTAGTTGTTGGACAAAATTGTCCTGCATTTTGTCACGTGTATGGCTAATTTCACCGATTAAAAGCAATTATCAACCAAATGATCACGAGTTTATTGATTAAATTGTTTAGTGGTCAATTATTGATGAAAAATAATTTGATGGCCAAAACATGATCTGACGAATAGTTTAGTGGTCGCTGAGATTTTTTGCCCTTTTTCCTATAAATAGGTCTAAGTATTATGTGAGTGTCATTTACGTAAGTTTACATTAGAAGGGAGGTAAGTGTAATATTTAAAATTTCAAGGGAAACTCCTAAAACTGTTAAAAAGCTCAGGGAGGTTTCCAAAATTATCCCTTAAAAAATACACTATTTTCTTTTGAAAACTGCTTGTAGACGTTACTTGTCCAGGCGTGCCTTCTCCATAGCTCTCCACTCTGTTTCCCTTCTCATTCTTCTTTCCCTTTTCTCTCTATTTAAGCCAAGGAAGACCGCCTCAAATCTCAGTCAAGCTCTCAAAGATCACAACTTGCAATTTACTCTGATCAAAATATCCAGAATGATCGAAGTGAGATGATTTTGGTGAAGACAACCATCTCCTTCTCCTCCTCTGATTCTGGTGAGTTTCAAGTTATCGAATTTGCTTCTTTGTTGTTTTATACTGACTAGGCGTTGACTTTTTTATTCCCACTGCTTGTTGCAGTTTTCTGAGAAAAAGTTGGAGATTTCAAGTCTCACTTATTTTTTGTCCTTTGTCGTTTCTTCGGCGAGTCCTAGTTGATTCTGAGTCCATCAAGTTCTCAACAACAGGGCACTTCACCCAGGTGAGTTGACCCACCTGGACCGATCAGGTTATCATACAGATTACACTAACACTCATTCCCTCCTTTCAATCCTTTTTAGTTTATGTAGTTCAAGAAGACGAATATAAATGGAAGGAGAGTTACTGTTTCCTCAAATATACAACCCTGATGCCTATCTACATGCTTGCTTGAATTAAAAAGGAAAGAAATTCATATTTTTGACTAGCAAAAATGACCGAGGCCGCTGTCAATTTTGCTGTGGAAACCATTCGCAACCTGATTGAAGAAACGAAGTTCTTACATGTGGTTAGTGACCAAGTGGCGCAACTTCAAGATGAGCAAAAGCAGATGCGATCGTTCTTAAAAGATGCAGATGCAAGGCAACATGACGAGGAAACGGTTAAGGAGTGGATTTCACAAGCTAGAGATCTAGCTTATGAGGTTGATGACCTGTTTGAAAGCTATGCTTTCAAAATTGCGGGTCGCAGGAGGAAAGGCATTCGAGGTATCATAAAGATTTGTGTTTGTATCCTGAATGAGTGCTATAATAGGCACACCATTCGAACAGGTACTCAAACGCTGAAAACCAAAATCTCTCATCTTACCAAAAGATTTCGGGATTATGGGATCAGAGTTATGGAAAGACAGGAGGGTGCAAGTTCATCGCATCAACAATTGAGGCGGACATATTCCCATGTTGTCGAGGATGACTTTGTTGGATTGGAGGGTGATGTCGAGATGCTGGTAAAGCATCTGGTGAGGGGAAGTGGTCATGAGATTGATAAATGCTTCAGTGTTGTCTCGATCTGTGGGATGGGGGGCTTAGGAAAGACAACTCTTGCCAGAAAGGTATACAATCACCCTCAAGTGAGGCGTTGCTTTGATGACTTTGCTTGGATATGTGTATCACAAACATGGCAAAAGGAAGACGTTTTGCAACGGATTTTGCTACGCCTAATGCCAGAAGGGAGAGAAGAAATACTGAAGTGGAAGGATGAGGAGCTAGTCAGAAATCTTTTCCAAATCCAGCAAAATAAAAAATATCTTATAGTTCTTGATGACATTTGGTCTACAGATGCTTGGGAATGTATAAAGCATGCATTTTCGATTAGAAAGACCGGAAGCAAGATCTTAGTTACCTCTCGCAATAGAAATGTGGTTTTGCATATTGGTCCAGATGGTTTTCACCATCAACTGCGCCTTTTAAGTTACACCGAAAGTTGGCAGCTGTTTCAGAGGAAAGCTTTATGGGACAGATTTAATGGAGGTACATGTCTTTCTAGTATACTTTGTTACATAGTTTGCTAAACTGATAATTACTCATCTGTTTGCTAAACTGATAATTAGTCATCTCCCTTCTTTGGATGATCATCTATAGATCTTAATGCTTTGATGTGGCCATCATAGTTTGCTAAACTGATCATTACTCATCTTCCCCCTTTGGATGATAAACTGTAAATCTTGACGCGTTGTTGTGGCTATCCATATTAAAAGGGCAATTGAAAAAAAATACATCGGAGAATAGGAGGAAACACAGTTGCCATGGAATCAAGTTCATTTACCGTGCATTCAAAAATCAAATGCTGTGCAAGAAAACATGAATATTAGTACCTATTCCTCCACAAAAAACAAAAAGTTGCATCCGAGTCAAACAAGAATTAAAATATAAATGATTAGCATTTATTTTACCTATTTTTAGTTAGGTTTTAGGGTAATTTTTTGGTGTATTTTAAGTTAAAATGGAAGAATAGTTGCATAAAAAGTTAAATGGATAAGGAAGTGGGCTCGTAAAGTTGTTCTTCACTTTTCAATTCAAGTTTAGCTAGATCCAGTCAAATTTTATCAGAAAAATTGGTCTACAAAATAGTGTGACACAAGTGCAAGTTGCAAAATCAACTTGAAGAAGCTTCTTACGGATCTGTGAGGTCTACAATCGCCTCGCGGTTCTTCGTTGTTCACAGTTTTGCACTTTCTGCTCAAATCTCAAATTTGCTCTATTTTTGGACAAAATTCAACTGCAATTTTCTTAATAATGGATGCCGAATTAGCTCTTGCATAAAACATAAAAGTTGTAGATAATTGATCTACCTATCTAGTTCATCAAGAATCATTTCATTTGGATCTGTGTAGGTTGAGAAACGATCAAAATATCCCTGACTAGTTGATACCTTGTTTCGGCTTTCGGCAAAAATTTTGCCCTACTATATTTTGACTTTTTGGCCAAGAAAATCAATGAACTGAATTTTTATGTTTTCACAAGAATTGTAGATATATGTCTTAGTTTTAAAATGGCTTAAGAATCATCTCAATTTGATATTGGTCTACAAAATAGTGTGACACAAGTGCAAGTTGTAAAATCAACTTGAAGAAGCTTCTCGCGGATCCGTGAGGTCTACAATCGCCCCACGGTTCTTCATTGTTCATAGTTTTGCACTTTCTGCTCAAATCTCAACTTTGCTCTATTTTTGGACAAACTTCAACTGCAATTTTCTTAATGATAGATGCCAAATTAGCTCTTGCATAAAACATAAAAGTTGTAGATAATTGATCTAGCTATCTAGTGCATCAAGAATCATTTCATTTGGATCTCTATAGGTCGAGAAATGATCAAAATACCACTGACTGGTTGATGCCCTGTTTCAGCTTTCGACAAAAATTTTGCTCTACTATATTTTGACTTTTTGGCCAGGAAAATCAATAAACTGAATTTTTATGTTTTCACAAGAATTGTAGATATATATCTTAGTTTTAACATGGCTTAAGAATCATCTCAATTCGATACTCATACCTCAAGATATAACCAAAATACCAAGGTGTGTCAAAACTGTCCAGCATTTCTTGACTTGAATCAATTTATAAGATACCAAAACCTACAAAATCAACACAAATTTTGTATATTAACCCACACTTTTGCATTTTTTGGTTAAGGGACACTACTTGTATGAAAAGTAACTTATCAAGGAATTCAATTCTTCTATTTTAACTTAAAACAACAAAAAAACTTACCCTAAAACCTAACTAAAAATAGGTAAAATAAATGCTAATCAAACTCGTCCACACATGAACTATTGTTTGTTCTCAAGCAATTTAAGAATTACAAACCATCACAATAATTCACATATATCCCTTTTGTGCTCATGTATCTTTCAAATTCATTTCCTCAATAACAATGTAAATTACCATTATATAACCATTCATTTCACCACAAATACTCATCATACCAAGTGAAGGAGAGAGAATTATATCAAGAACTAAGACTTGTTCAACTTATTTCCTTCCTTCAACTATATTCAGTTTAAGCAACTTAAATGATCAAGTCAATAAAGTAGATGTCTATGTGATTGGTTGAGAAAAGAGTTTATAAACCAATGGACTCTAGAGTAAGGGAGTATTTTTCTAAACTAAGCTCGATATTAGTCATGAAAATGAACTATTTTGATCCTCACATGTTAGTGAAATCTTTTTTTGTCCCTCATTTTTAAAATAAAACAAATTAATCCCTCAAACTAGTCCCAGATGACAACTTGATATAGAGTTTAGGAGTAAAATTGTTAAATGACTTCAGTCTTTTTCAAAAAGATATGTACATGAGATTAGATCAATATAGAAAGGAAATGAAAAATTATAACATCAAAAACAAATCGTTCACTTTGAAAAAATAAAAATTTTTAGAAAATTAAGTCAACAAAAAAGAGAAAATTAAAAATTATAACATAAAAAAACCTCTAAGTTACAAATTTTATAAATAAAAAATTTTTAATTTTTCTAGAGAGAATGGTTTTGGTTTTGATGTCATAATTTTTAATTTTTCTTTTATTAAAGAGAATTGTTTGTTTTTGATGTTATAATATTAATTTTTTCCTTTTTACGTTGACTTAATATAGCTTTCTTAAAAATTTTTTTATTTTTTTACAAAGAAGGGCTTGTTTTTGATGTTATACTCTTTTTTTTTTTTTGGCCTTTTGTCTTGACGTAATGTCAAGTGCATAGTAAGTGGAGTTAGATTTGGGCAAAATTAAACTGGTATTCTGAGTTTGTCCCTAAAATCTATATCTGATTGTTATTGTAGGACTAGTTTTTTCATTTTTAGAATGTGTGTTGTCAATATAAATGTTGCGAAAAGAATATATGGAAAAAAATACAATAAATTCAAGGAAGTAATATACTTCATTTTAAGAGTGAGAGAAGAAAAGACCTTTTTTTTTTTTACAAAACGTGAGCGATGAAACTGGCCATTTTTCCTATTTAGCCATTGCGACTTTAGCGTGAAGTTGCTTTCCTTTCGTCCTCACATTGTTAATAGGTTTTACTTTTTGTTTTCTTTTTTTTTTAATTTTGTTTTTGGTAAGCTTACTTCTTTACTGATATAACCACGAAATTTTCACGAGAAAGAGGAACCATATAAATGCATACAAAAGAAGTAACAAAAGGTGGAGCAGAATACAAACAAAATCTAGCCAATATATGCAAGACTGTAAGACAAAACTATATTAACATAGAATTGTTTGAACCTCTGGAGTTGCCTTTCAGCTTTTTCCAGCTTACAAGGCCTTTCCTTTGCACCAAATTTTAAAAATTCAAATACCCCATTTTCTACAAGTATACATATACAGGGATATTAAGTATCAATCTCACAAGAAAATTTGTCAATTATTAGTAGTTTTCAAACTCCTTTATTATTTAGATTATCACAAATGTAAGAAGTTAAATTTACACTACAAACATGAAATAAAAGTAGTAAAACTAACAATAGAAAATTGCTAGGGTTATGGAATTCCTATCTACTTTTGCAGGTAAAATTACTGGTTAATTAAATGTTATTATCTTGCTTAAGCTAATGTACGCAATACACGCTTTTGCCAGTTTACTGACCATAACTGTAATTAATCCATATTTACTTCATGGTTATGAAATTAACTATAATTTCATTAAATTCTATGGAAATTACAAAGGATAAGTCACCAAAGTCACACATGTGCACCTCTACTCTCGTGAGTGTACTCCACAAGTTTAGCAGTTCTTTAAATTAGTGTTAAATATCAATTCTTATTATAAACTTAACACCTTAAGATTATCACAACTAATGGTCAGTTAATCATGATTACCAAAGTAAAAGTGCTAAATAACTGTTTAAAATAATAGTATCAAATAATCAAGTAAATATCATAAACAAGGCATAGAAAATTCATTCATAACTCTAGATATAAACTTTTGAAACACATAATAAACATAAAATCCAAGCTTGTATACTAATTAAATACTAGAAAAAAAGTAGTATGAGAGATATCACCCTTGTCACATGAGTTTAAACTCTCCATCTTGACTCCTCAATCTTCATCCGGGTTTAGCTATACACAAGAGAGGATGAATCTAACTACTCTAAAACTATCCTACCTAACCTAAATTAAAGGACTAAAAAACTAACTGAGAACTACATTTTGTGTTGTATTTCTTCCACCTTCAAAAACTCTCTTGGTTCTTGAAACAATGGTGTTTATATAGAGAAAAATGATCCAAAAGATGAATCTAGGGCATCAATGTTACAGTTAAAAAGTCTGCAAATTCATCCCTCAAAAGATGTGAAATAATAAAGCTAGAACTAAGTTGAGTATGTTGCAGCTGAAATTTCTAACTAGAATCCCTCCTAGAATCCTACTGTGAGTACTTGGCCGAATTGAATCCAACGCAAGATCCGGCCAGGGATTCTGCTAGGGACTCTATTCCCCTGTTTTGTCAACTTTTGTTCAGTGTTTGCCTTGAATCCCTCCAACAATCCGGCCAAGGATTTTGCGAGGGATTCGATCCGAGCATTTCTTGTGCAATAAACTTTGATTCTTCATCTTTTCGTGAGCAACTTTGGCCTTCAAAATCTACCATTTTCACACACTTTTAAACTTCAAGGAGTACAACTCGAGTTCATCTCACGTTCAAGTTCATGCTCATTCTTCAAATCCTACAAAAAGATAAAAAAAACATGTGAGTAAAAGGGATAAAATCTCATTTAAGTACTAGATTGCACTTAGAATCAATTCTAATAAAAATGGACCATTTTCTTCTTATAATATTGTAAAAGTAACTAAAAGTGACATAAAATATCATCCAAATATCAATCACAATAGTCAATTATCACCGGCCAACAACAGTGCCCCTAACATCCTTCATAACCTGCTCCACTGCCACTTCAGGAGGAAACATAAGCAGTTTGAGCAGAGTCAAACATCTATAATATCAACGCTTACAAACAGTTGCAACACAAGCCACCCTTCTCATTGACCATACAAAAGAATCCTGGGACCAATTCAAAATCAGTTGGCGCTCTATAGGCCAGGAAGTATTTCTGCGCAGCCTCCTAAACAACACCAGAAATTATGGAAAATAGAACACCAGATGCAATAAAGATTCTGGAGCGACGCAGCCCAATTGACAACTGGGATAAACTGCCATCCCCCAAGAGTAAACATCCTTTTATGTTGTCTAATGCCCTTAACTCTGGCTTCTTAGTTATCCTAAGAATTCTATCTCACCACGAAGAAACAAAAAGATACCATTATGTAGAGTGTTTATTTATGTATAAATGCTTATTTTTAATAGATATATAAACCAGACGCTGTTATAGTTAAACAGGCATGTAAAGTGTTAATTAGCTGGTACACAAGTTAATTCAATTTACTGCACGTACATTGAGCACCCAGACACTTCTCAAAGTAATAAGACTAATAGAACTCATTATCTCTGTTTCACAGAACATGAAGATTTACAAAAATTGGAAAATTTAGGGAAGGAAATGGTGAAAGCATGTGGGGGTCTTCCATTGGCTGTGATAATACTCGTCGGAACGCTTGCCACCAAGCAGAACTTGAAGGAATGGGAAAGCGTGAACAACAACGTTAGAGCTTATCTTGGAAGAGGAAAAAGCATTATGGAAGAAGGAAATCTGCACAAGATATTAGCTTTAAGCTACAATGACTTGCCCTACAAGTTGAAGCCTTGCTTCCTTTACCTAAGCAGATATAAGAAGACTATGACATAGATACGGAGGAATTGTACAAGCTATGGATGGCAGAGGGTCTAATATCAACAAAAGATCGGATTGGTGAAGAATCAATGATGGATGTAGCAGAAAGATGCTTGGGAGAATTAGTAATACGGTGCATGGTTCAAGGCAAAGCCCCTGCTGATGATGTGATGCTGTCCTACATTGGAAGATCATTCGCATTGTGCCGCCTTCATGACTTAATGAGAGACCTATGTTTGCTCAAGGCCAAAGAAGAGAATTTCTTGCTACCCGTAAGTTGTCATGATGATGGAATTCTCGATGAGCATGTAGATATTTCTTCTTTGGCTAGTAACGATCACACACAAGTTTACCGACTGGTCATCCGTTTTACAGAAAAGATTGTAAGGAAATTTGTCCCCCTAGTTGAGAAGAAAAAATACTAGGCACCTAAGGTCAGTTGTCTTAATGGCGTCAGGTGTGCAACTAAAGGAAGGGCGTGTTGATAAGATAATGAAGCTCAAATCAATCAGTTCAAAATGCTTAGAGTATTGGCCGTTGAAGGGTTCGATCACTTGAGGCTCCCAAAAGCTATTGGGAAGCTGATCCACTTGCGATACTTGAGTTTAAGAGGTTCAGTTTTCTTACGTTTACCATCATCCTGGGGCAATTTACGGTACTTGCAAACACTTGATTTTCGAGATTGCCCTAGATGTAGAATACCGGATGTGCTGTGGAAGATGAGACAACTTAGGTACTTGTATCTTCCGGATGCATACGGGACGCATAAGCTGGGTAAGTTAAAGCTGAATTTGTTCTGCAAAAAGTTGCGACTCAAGGGATTGGACAAGCTTGAGATACTGGAAAACTTGTGTCCTCTTTCTTGTTCATCTCAAGATATATCCACGTTGAAGAACCTTCGAGTTCTATCAGCAGTGGTGGACAACTGGACATGGACTTTGACGAGCACTTCCCCACAGAAATACATAGATTGATGTCAAACTCAGACCACGCACGTAGCACATCCCTAAGCATTGTCTCTAAGAGATTCAGCAGCCACCGCAGCCTTAACCAAGGAGAACTTGTCAGATGTTGTTGGTCAATGTTTCTCTCGTCGCAATCTTCAAGTCTTAGAGGTAAAGGGTCCCATGGCCAATTTCCCCAAGTACGATGCCCAGTACATGTATGCAAGCCTTGTTGACATGACATTAACAGAAATCGAGATAGAGGAAGATCCCATGAAAACACTGGAAAGGCTTCCTAATCAACGGTCACTCCTCTTGGCATATGAATCTTTTCTCGGGAAAGAGATGAGGTGCAAGGCAACAGGTTTTGGCCAACTTAGATTTTTTCGTCTTTTTGGTCTAACGAACTTGGTGAAGTGGATTGTTGACGAAGGAGCCATGCCCAACCTTTCGGTCTTGATGATTAATTGTTGTCCAAAGCTGGAGATAGTTCCGAATGGATTGAGATACATTAAAACCCTGAAAGAGTTGATAGTTGTGTCGATGCCCGAGCGATTCACAAACAGGATCCAAGCGGTAAATGGTGCAGATCAGAGACAGGATTTTGACAAAGTCTCCCACATACCCTCCATTATTGTCAACGGATGCCGGACGCATTTGACCCCTGACATTCTCCGTATTTTAATTATTTCATCGGTCCTCCAGTCCATTAGAAGTATCAAAATGGGTGATTTGGACGGATTTAGATTGGGTAAAATGAATAATGAGTATAAGTGAGTCAAACCATTTATACCCGTTTAATTAGATGGGTATAAATGAGTAAGTCAAAAAATGAATTGAGTAACCCAATTACTCATTTATAACCTATTTATTTTAACTTTTTGTAAACTCATTTAAATTCATTTTTGCAAACTAAGTTATCAATTTATACCGCTCTCCATCATTAGTTTTAAATATTTACCTATAATGCTCAATAAGCCTAATTACCAATTTTTTTCATTTATACTCTATGTCGGATAATTGCATATTATTTAATGGTTAAATAATAAGAATATAAAAATGTGAAGTAAGTACTATTAAAGTTAATATAAAAACTTAATCCAAAAAATTTGAATCCCTAACATTTTTTTCATATATAAATTAAAATTTTCATTTTAAAAAGATAAGAAAAGAGGTTAACTTATCATAAATTGGTAATGCTGAAAAATAAGCAAGTTAACAAACTAAGACAAAATAAAATAACAAGATAAAACCAACAGATAATAATAATAATGAAACAAAAATAGTTAACATCATGACAAAATGAAAAATTTGAAAAAAAAAATGGGTGGGGGAAGAGAATTCTAAATTCGTTAATTGGGTTTGATGGGTTACCCAATAATACCTATTTAATAAATGGGTATTATTGGGTAATCCGTTTATACCCATATATAAAAATTTAAGATGCCCATACCCATCTATTCATGAATGGGTATGGGTAAATTTAGTTAAGTGGGTTGGTTTGCCACCTATACTGTCTACCGAGGGGATTATTATTAATCAGGCACCTCTCTCTTGTCCAGAATTCTAGTTTCTTTTCGGAACTTTACTTCAATTTATGGTTGGAACCAATGACGGAGCTAGGGGGCTGATGGGGGCATGGCCCTAAGTTTTGAAAAATTTAGTTTATAGTGTGTAAATATATGTATAAAATAGAATTGGCCCCTCCTAATTTTTTACAATTTTAGTTTATATTATGAGAATTCATATATATATATATATATATATATATTAGCCACCTTTGAATTAATTTTTTTCTTAAAAAGTTTATTTATTTATTTTTACATGCATTTATAATTAAAGTTAATATTTGATATTTTTAAATGTCATATATTTAAATGAATGAAAATTATTTTGAACACAGCATATTAAGAAAATTTTGTTAGACAAATTTTGACCCCTGAAAAAAAAAATTTGGCTCCGTCACTGGTTGGAGCCAAAATCATGACTTTGCTTTTCGTCATCTTATAATATATATATATATATAATCCATTATTATTGCCCTTTCTTCAACTAAACCAAGTTTATAAAGTCACAAGTTGCACGGGCAAGTGCCTCTCAGAATAATTTCTTTTTGTTTATTAGCATCTCCACCTTAAGATATGCACTCAGTCATTTGTTCTTTATTTGATTCATTAAGCCTTTCATGATACTAGAATATGGTCCTAATTGATTTCACTTCTTGTTATTAGGATCAACTTGACGGGCAAGCGTAATATCCTGCTCAAATATAACTCAAACTTTTTCTATGCAGTACAACTGTGTCAAGCCTCCTGTTGAAGTGCCTAAATTTGTACTTAATTATGTGAGTCTCATGTCAGTATGATTTTCACTCAGCCTATGTTTTGCAGCTTTCTTAATGTAATTTGTCGAATAAGAGTGAGTTTGTACTATAATTCAATATTCATTGTATTTTTAATTGATGATTTTTTTTAAAACAAAAAACTTTTTTTCCCTCAATAATGACTTCACAATTGATGTCTTTTCATAGACTATAGATCTCTTGTTACACTTACAAGTGTAGCACTCATGTTACACACCACTTGTCCTCTTCAAATGCTGGTAATAACTAATATAGTTGGTTTTAACTCCTCTGAACTCCCAAAACAATCAACTCAAGTTAAATGCATTACTAGTGGACATATTTCAGCCGATTAAAAAAAAAATCGACTCTTTCGGCTCCTCTCCCTCTTTGATGAGGTTGCTTCTCCCTCCTAAAATCCTTCTCATAAAAAAACTTGAAAAAAAAAAAAAAAAAAAGCTTCATCTTAGTGTGATGTAGGGGTGGCAATTCGGGTCCAAATCTGGTTGGTGGGTCGGGTCTGACCCGACCCGTCAGAAAATCTATTGACCTGAACCCAACCCGTCAACCTGTGACGGGTTAGGTATATTGACCCGACCCGAAAATTTCAGGTTGACGGGTTGGCAGGTCGACCCGAAATGACCCGAAATTTAATTTTAATTTATTAATTTATCACTGTAATTTCTAATAAAGTTAATTTCTCACAAAACTAATTACATAATCAAGTAATAAAAATTTAAATAAATAATTCCAAACCAAATCTAAAATAAATTAAACACCGTAAAAGTGTTTTATCCCAAACAAAATATAAAATAAATTAAAACAATATAAAAGTAAAAATTAACATAATATATTATTTGTCCAAATATAATAATTTCAACTTCACACAAATTAAATAAATTCATTTAGGATTAAGTAATTAATGCCTTTGAAAAAAAGAATAACTTAGTTTAGTTAGATAAAATTATTTTTATGTTTATTAAATTATTTTTAATTCATAAACGGATCATATCGGGTCACCACGGGTTGATCCGAAATCGACCTGTTTTCTTTTCGGGTTCATCAGGTTCAACTCGATTCTGACCCGAATTCCCGAAACCGAAACCCAAACCCCTTAATTTCGTGTTAGGTTCGTGTCGTGTTTTCAGGTCGTGTCGAAAATTACCACCCCTAGTGTGATGGCTAGAGATTAAAATTGAAAAGAAATTTTGTGCTATTGGTCTCCTCCTCCTCCTCCTCCTTTCTTCTTTTGTCCATGCAATGCTTGTCCTTTTGGTTTTCTATTTTTTGTTTAAATTTAAGGTAACTGATGCTGATCTAGGTGATATTCGATTTCTTGGCAGGAGATGGATTTTTTATAAGAAGGATTAAGGATTTGGGAGAAGATGGAGGAGAGACATGTTCACCATTTCTCATCACGACTTTACAACCGCCGAGGATGAACCATTAAAGATAATAATGAAGCAAGTCACAAAAAGAATATTAATCTGCCAACAGCATCTCTTGCTAAAAGTGAATGATTACAAGTCCATAAAAGATTCTGTTACCTACCAAAAACAGCTTTCACATACAATTTATTGTCAATCATCAGTATCATTTGATAATAAGCTTCAACAGTATCAATACAAGATCAAACGCATTTATGTTTCTTCCATATTTTCGTATCAATAAAAAACAAACAGAACTAAGCATATGCCAGGAAGTAAAACAGAACAGACAGATGGAAAGGA